CTTCTGTCCCCCTTAAGCTACAGCTAGTCATCATTCCTTATCAATTCCAGGCCTTTCACACGTGGCGTGTCCAATGCCGACACTATTCCGGGGCAGCGTGAACTGCACGTCCACTTCGTACAACCCAGGCACAATATGTACCCGGTCCTGCAGAACAGGGTTCGCATTGTCCGGTCCTCCCAGTATCAGGTGCCAGGACAATGGAGTCTGGACCCCCGACATCCCGGCACAGTGTACAGGTAAGTAATGGCTGCACGGGTTATAATATCATAAAGCCTGGAACATGGTGTTGTCTCAAGGTATTTTAAGGTCTCTTTTTTATGGGACATATAAGTACAAGTACCATTGAAAAAATCCTACATACAAAGTACAAGTAGATGAAATTTGTATAATGTCTCTTTTTTTTATTAAAAAAAGACCTTGGTTTTCAGATATAGACGAGTGTGCAAACAACAATGGCGGCTGCGAACAAACCTGCATCAATTTCCTTGGCCAACACGCATGCGCGTGTCAATCAGGATTCCTCCTCAGAACGGACCGAAAGCATTGCAAAGGTAATGAAAAACATTTTGTTTCTTAACAACGGGTTTCAGGCAGGCACATTTAAAAGGTCACCAACTATATATTTCAGTACCGAGTTACAAAGAAAATTCAATTATACCGGTAAGTCAAAAGAAACGCAAAGAATACAGTTAATGCATCGTACCCATAAGACCATTCTACGTGTATAGTCAATGTGTTCTCTAAACGGATACCCTGAATGCACATTTTCATTTTCTATTCCCATAGACGCCGAAAACCCAGAGTTCACAAACTGCCCAAGCAACATAGAAGTCAACACGCAATTGTCCTACGCCACTGTCACGTGGCCGGAAGTGACATACACAGACAATGTCGGGGTCGTAAACGTGGTTGGTCCACAAACTAATGAACAGAATTTTACCATCGGAGTTCATAAGGTGAAAATCACGATATTCGATGCTGAAGGAAACTCGGCACTTTGTTCCTTTAAGGTCCACGTGAAGGGTAAGTATTGGCGTTTGTGCCTTATCCTGCGTAATAATGTGTTATCTTATGAGAATTTGCCAACTGAATTTTTTTGTTTTTCTGAAAACCGACATATATTGTTATGCATCATCTGTCTAAATTTCACAAATATTAGACAAGATTTGAGAAAATTATTAACGTTAACTATTTTAAGCCTTGGAATTTGGCAGTCTTTTCAATGTCATATATTACAACTGTTGAATTTCCATAACATTTTCTACGATACAAGTAAGTTTATTTCTTCATCCAGTCTAGCAGTACTACTTAGACTATAGTCTATTTAGACTATACCGACAGGAATGACGTCCGGAAACAAACCAGATTATAATCCTAATTAATGGTTATACTTTTTAATATTTCATTCACTAAATTAACAAATGTTTTGGCGATCATGTTTATTCTCTTCCTACGTTTATTGTTGATTCTGACCACGTCCGTAGGCAGGTGAGGGGTGTTTGGGGGGAGGTTTCTGGGATTCAAAAGAACCGACCTTTTGGCATGAAAAGATCCACTCTGAACCAGAGGTATTCTGCCATTTCTCATGTTTGATCAATTAAGGGGTTACAGTTCAACTCTTTTTCAGCAAAAAACAACCTAGCTCTTTCCAAATTGCTGGCTAATCCTCTGCTGGTGCATAAAGCTTACCCCCCCCCCCCCCAAACCGTTCAAATAACTGAACTATCGTGTTCGTCTTTTTATTCCCCCGTTTATCCGTTTTATTCATTAGATTTGGAACTGCCTGTCGTCAGCAATTGCCCGGATGACATCAACAGGTTTGTTCTGGAGGGTGTCATGGTGAAGGAGGTCACATGGCCCGAGCCAACTTTTTCGGACAACTCCGGCAGCGTCACGGTGACGGATAACATTCCCACCGATAATCTGTTTCCCATGGGAGAGTACAATGTTAGATACCAGGCTGCCGACCCGAGCGGGAACATCGCCGTCTGTACCTTCTTGGTAAACTTGACACGTGAGTATGCAACCATAAGCTGTACAAAAGTATTCTCACAAGACTAATGTAGACCCAAATAGTTAAACTGTTTACCGTCCTGTTCGCAGAAAGACCCATTGTATATATATATATATATATATATATATATATATATATATATATATATTTATTTATGTTTTGGTCTACTCTTTATTCGGTCAGTATATATATATATATATTAAGTTGGCATTTTGCAAAGTAGGCCTTAAACGAGAAATCTTTTGAGTCGCACTTGACTGCCCAAAAACTCAAACTTGATTAAGTGGAGATGTACAGGCTGTCTGTGCATTGAAGCACTTCGATGGACTCACAACGTTAAGTTAATGTTATGTTTGAGGTAAATGAATTCAAAATGACGCATGTTTCCAATTGTTTGCAGTATTTCCCGCTAAAAAATTCGCCTTAAACAAGACGATCTTCCACTTTTTCCAGGTGTCAACTGCCCTGATCTGAGGCAACCAGTTAATGGTTCAATAACGTGCGATACGTCAGCCATCAATCCCTTCTGTGAAGCGAAATGTGATGCCGGTTTTGAATTTCTGAAATCTCCCCCCGAGCAATATGTTTGTGGAGCGGACGGAGGGTGGATCCCTACTGACAACGTCCCGGATTGCCATCGTAAGTGACGTAAAGACTCCCGCCAAGGAAGTGATATTTTTGCCTGCGTTGATTTGTTAGATAATTATTTTCAGTCTAACTCAAAACGTCATGGGCAGATTTTGATGAAATTTTCAGGGTGGCTAAGAAATGCTTGCACTTATGATCAATTCGATTTTGGGGGCGACATTAAAAACAGGTTTTTTTTTTTTTTTTTTTTTTTTTTGGGATAATTTTCACATTTACTCTCATTATTCTAGGCACTTTCACGCCGACTGCCGCAAAAGCAACATTCAGCGCCCGCTACGCTCACGTGTGCAAGGATCCGGAAAACGACCCAGTGTTTATCAAACAAACCATAATGCCGATGTTCCAGTCTCAGCACGTCCAGAGTCTCCAGTTCGCCTGTATCAACAAACCCTGTACCTTCACAGACCCCGTCATAACCTGCAGAGAAAAGGATACACTTCTCACGTTTTCCAGTAACGAAGACCTCTCAGGGGGGCTGGACCTGAACGCCTACGTAAACGGCGTTTTAGCTGAAGTCCAGAAACAGAGATATGACTCATTTTTTCTCACGCTTATCATTCCTGGAACTCCGGAGTTCTTCTTTCCACCAATCGCGGATTTGGAAAACAGGAAGATAGACGTTCAGCTCAGTTTGACATGCGCAGATGGGCAGGTCCAGATACGTAATAAATGCGGTAGGTGCCCAGAGCTTTGAGTCATTGCGCTAGTTGAGATGCGTGCAATAGTGTGTCGAATAAAGACTAGGTTATTCTGATTGAAACACTCGTTTTTAGGACTGGATTACGTCACGGGAGGACGTAATCACAGCTCTAATTAGGCGCTTTCATGCCAAAAAGGCAACTCATTACTGTAACAGTTTTGAAAATTAAAGATGGGACATGGGGCGCACACAAACAGCGATAATGATTGGGAACCGTCCTTATATGACTTTTTCCTTATATTTCAGTGAAGTGTCCGCCCGGGGAGCCAGACTGCCCCTTGATTCAACCTGGACTCGCGTAGAGATTTTTATGAGAAGAAAATAAGAGGCTGTGTGCAGTGAACTCTTCGACCTTGACCTTAGTCTGACATCACGCCATTTCCAAAGGCAGATAGACAGTGTGGCTTAAAAACGTGGTCCAAATAGATATAGCCAACTATGGGCGCACTAAGAGAATTCTTGCACAAATCTGACTGCGGGCATTTTTATCCGGCTATTAATCGTGATGAATATGCAGACTTTGCAAATTGTTGATTTATACGCAAAGCGGGAAGACTTTCAGGAATAAATATCCCTTCAATATATATATATGCCCTGTAGAAAGTTATAGTCTTAACGTTTGCCTGTTCATTTCCACTATGCCTATTACTGCAGACCCACCAAAATTGAAGATACCTGGACCGACTGTTCAATGGAACATATTCCATCAAAGTTCGTGCCTTTTTGTATTCTGCTGTAATCCACCTAGAAAATATTTTTTACGGCTTTGAGGATTTTCTGATGTGTAATAACTTTAATCTCACAATATTGTAAATCGCTTTTACTCCTTTTGCTATGGTTGCTAAACGTGCATGCATGGTCAAAGGAATGAAAAACAAATGAATGGGATGGTTCAAAACTGGAAACTCACTTCTGTTTCATCAAAATGAAAATTAGTTTTCACAATTTATTCATACACTTGTTAGTGCCTAGGCCAAACGAAATATTCTAATATACAAAAGTTTGTATACATCAATAAACGGTTGAACATAAAAGTCCGAAGGTTCATAAGTCCGATGGTTCATAAGTCCGAAAGTATGGTTCATATCCGATGGTTCATAAGTCCGATGGTGCATAAGTCCAAAAGTATGGTTCATAAGTCCGAAAGTATGGTTCATAAGTCGGATGGTAAATAAGTCCGATGATTCATAAGTCCGAAGTCCGAAGGTTCATTAGTCCGATGGTTCATTAGTCCGATGGTTGCTCTTTCATTGCTTACGATGTGCATCTTAAAATCACGTTTGTTTCCACGGTACCTTAAAAATTGCACGTCTAACTTGCGAACTCAATTTTTTTTTACTATGTACACTGGCATTTTTCTCAGTACACCAACATCGGTGTGTATGTGGTGGTAATGTGTATGTGGTGAAATGACGAATTGCCGTACAGATAATAAGACATAATTCTCAGTCTTTATCATCTTTTAAATCGCCGTGCACAAACTATCTTTAGTACGCTGCGTTAGACGGACTTTATACTAATTAACGCTAGTAATGCTGTCCACTAAAAAAAGTCAAAGTGGCCATGATGGCGCACCTAACAACTTCAACTGCAGGACGTTTTTGCCGCACACGTCGTGAAAACGGCGGGGGTTCTCTCCGCTTCTTTTGGTGTGGAACACAATGCTGGGATTGTGGTAGACGAGATTGTGCGAATTGTGCTGACTTTTCACTCTCGTTGTGTCAGGTGGCTGGAGAACTGGATCTATGGACCCCAGAACAGACCGAATGGTTGACCTTTCTACTGTGCGTTGCGTCTGGATGAAATGGAGAGATTTGTCCAAAGCTACTGAGTGGTTTTGTATTTGAAAGTCGCGCTAATCACGACATGTGTCCCATTTTGGGTGCGTTCGACTTAGTTTTAAGAGGTGTACTAAGCACATGTGTCCCATTGTTGGGAGTGTTTTAAATTAACCGGCATGTTCTAGAACAAGCTAATAGTGAATATGTTGTCATATTATTCGCTTTTCTCTTTATATATTATTTTATTATATCCCCAAACCATTTACTTCTTTAATAACTGTTATAATTTCAATCAAAAAAATTTTTTTTACCTCCTGACTTCGCTCCGATCCTCGCCTTTGTCTGAACTGGTCGGACTCCATTTCACTTGCGATACAACGTGCTTTCTGAAATAAATACTTCATATGATCAAAAGAACGAAATTGTCTTATTCACAAACTCAAGATTATCAATCTTGGTATCAGTAAATCTAATTTTTTTAAATGGTCGATGTCATGCGTGGGAGGCGTCAGGGTCACAGTAATTTGTAGGGATCGGGAGAACCCTAACCTATACGAATCTAATGGACGGAATACTCGCCACGAAGTTTTTCACATCGATATCTCTCCACTACACTCAGTTTTTTACATGTACAATAAAACCTGCTACGAAAATGACCCTCGGTTTGCAAAATGATGGAATATTAGAAACGGAGATTATATCTGCACTATGTACAATCGGAGATAAAAATGGCCTTTTTGAGGCACAAAATGTGTGAAAGATAAGTGTTCACCTGTGCTTACCTTTGCGCTGTGTATTAATGCTGAGACACCGAGAACGACTGCAATCAATGACACTCCCGCGGCAGTGAGACCGATAATTATACCTGGAACCAAATGTTTATTCTACAGTTTATTGTATTGCCCGTGTTTTTTTTATGCCCGGCCCACACCACCAAGTACAAGCTGAGCTACTGACGTTTCAGAAGAACAAAAATAAAATTGCATGATTCCGAAACATTTATAAAGAAAATCGCTTACCCAAGTCGCAACGCTTAATTCCTATTTCTTGAGATAAGTAAGAGCAACCCCCGTCGGTTGTTTCAAGAAGTTTTGGCCTGTGAGTCGTCTGCTCAGGCGATGAATTTTCTCTTGTGACAGCGTCGGTTGACGTATTCACGTGTTCGCATGGGGTGCACTCTAAAAAAAGTAGGCTAGTTTCAGCTTACACGCGCGCAAACAAAATTACTATTTTAAGTCAAAATTTCTACGGCAACGAGACCTATGAGGTTGATGTACAAATACGTTTTATTTGTAATTGATTTGCTTTTATCATAACTATTGTTTTATATCATCAGCTGTTTTTCCTGATATCATATGGGAATTGCCGTTACCATCTAGACATTGACACAAACAGAATGATTATGAATATTTTTGTAAAAGTATCGCGTAAAACGGTTGAATTATTTGCAATGTTTTGGACAGTTTGAACAATCGTATAATTAATTACACGTATTGTAGAATAGGCTCGCGCTGTGTTTAAACTGGATGTGTTTATTGTCGATCTTGTATAATAAAATTAACGCAAAAGATTTTCAACATAAAGGTATTAATTGTCACAGACTGCTTTATGTTCGACAGGAATATTATTTAAATAGCACAAACAACATTACTCACCATACTGACAAATAAATGAAAACGAAGAATATCGGCCGGCGCAAGGAAAATCACTCCATTTCCATTCGTCAGCTCTTCTCATTACCATGCAATCCTCGTTGTGATATCGAGGCCAAAGAGTTTCCGGTTGACCCTGAGCCCAGTTGAAATAGGTCACAGCTTGACCTGGGTGAAAAATAAACACTAAGTAAACAGAGACTTTGATGTCGGTTTTGCGCGTCAATGATAAGACAAAAAAATCTTGTGATCCATCTCATACATTGTACTGGTACTGAGATGTTTTTCTTTGAAAATTATGGTCGCGGTTAACCTTACCCCCCCCCCCCNGGCCAAGCCATCAGCAACAGCTGGCGGGTACCCTTCCCCCCCCCCCCCCCCCCCCCCACACACACACACACACATAGAGAGAGAGAGAGAAGAGAGAGAGAGAGAGATTTGAAAACAAGATTAACCTGAGGTCCACATCCAACTGCCTTCGTTGATCACATCACTCCCTCCAATCCACACGGTGCTATGGGTGAGACCGTGAAGTGTCCTCGAGAGAAATTCCATGACATCTCGGTCTTGGACCTCAGCCAATCCCTGGCCGCGTGTTTCACAGAAAGCCTTTGCGCCACGCCAGTCTTTTCCCGTGCTCACGACATGGTAACACGTGTTTCCGTGCGCGAAAACGTCCTGTTCGAGGTGATATATACAGTCATTGTCTGGGAAACCTAGAAATAGATGTTCCTCGTTAAAAAAATACCATTCTCTGTTGTGGGGTGCCACATGATGTGATTAGTACAGGTTAGTTTTAGTCGGAGAAATCGGGTTGGTAAAGAACGGATTACGGTTTCCAGCGGACTTTATTTACTGTTACACCGGTAGGCCTACCATGTACCTCATTTTAATATTCCTGGAAAACCTTCTGCAAACGGTCATTTTGTGTCACATTTACTGAATTCGAATTACTGAGTGTGACATCATGATTTGCTCAACATCCAACAAAGTAGGCCCTACCTGTATACTTAAGCACTCGAGCACACAATTCCTTCCCTGACAAAATTTCAAAAAGTAACTAATAGTGGGTGATTTATCCATAAATATTGTTTAAAATATTAACCTTAGATCATATGGTTATTTCATAATTATTCAAAATAACATCGCTTTCGAACTTTTTTGGTCGATTGTATATGTCGGAACTGTAGGGGCTCATTTCCAATGCAATTACTGGTCTACGTACATCGATCCAACTCCTAGAGGACTCTAGCTGAATGTCATCAGTTTGACAGATAAACAAGCCTCCCTTGTTTTCAACTTATTTACTTCTATAACCACCAGCTTTTCTGTATTCTACTCAACGCAAGGTGGAGCCTTGTAGTCTTTTAATCTGATTGCATTCACCAAGGGTCCCCATGGAGTTGGATCGATCTATATAGAACGATAGTTTCAATGGGAAAGAGCTCTGGGGCATAAGGATTATGACATGCGCACTTATTGTAGTTTGCAATGGACACTGCGGTTACTTTGGTTGCTGCGGTGGTTACTGGTAGCTGTGATTTAGAACTTTGTGGTTGATAACTGAAGCCGGCGACACGAGGCAACAATTTTATACCACACGACACGGGTACACGGCATTTGAGAATGAGAGATAAAAAGTCATGGAATTTTGTTTTGTTGATTTGACTTTTTCTGCAGCATGTCCTTTGAGGTACATAAATGTGTGCATTCAATTTAACTATTTGTGTTGAATAGTAATTAATCAAAAGTGTAAATCAAAACGATGTATGTTCGAATATTTTTAAATTATTGCCTTTGGACAATTTCGGGCAAATTATTGTTTAACACGACCAGTATTTTGGTCCTTTGCGGTTGGTACCTTGGCGGTATGTACAGTTGGCTTCAGTGGTAACAAAAATATTAATGTGTCCAACCCCCCCACACCCCCCCTCACTTCCCCAAGACCCGTCTCTTAAGCCACTTAGTACGTGAATAACGGCACGTGTCGCGTCGTGTAGCTTCACATTAAGGACGCGTTAAGGGCAATACAAAGGCCCATTGGTCAAAGTGGTGGGCACATTATTGTACATTTTGGGTGCGTTCGACTTAGTTTTAAGAGGTGTACTAAGCACAAGGTGTCCCCCTAAGTGCTCGTTCACAGTAGGACACATGAGGAAGTCACTTGGTGTGTTTGGGGAAGAGCAAAGCGTTTCTTACTGAAATTTGACAGTCTCAGAGCATATTGATGGACCCTCCTGCCTCCTCCCTCCCCCCTTCCCCCCATTGAGCTTACGGCTGCACGTCCCCGAGCACACGCCCTGTGCGCGTGTTGTTTCCCAATTTTATCAGATGAAGTATGTTGAAATCTGATGCTTTTCAACCGGGCTGCAAATCCATCCATACAGTGTTTGTTTACAATGCCTTTTCAGGCCCGTAGCTTGGGGGGTTCTTAATTTTTCTGAAAAAAAGTGGACCTTTTACAATGAAACCTTTGTGTACCTAGATCAAATTTTACCCAGAATGGTCCTTTTCTTGACAAAAGGGCAATTTTTTCAAACACCCCGACACCCCCCCCCCCCCCCTGCCCCCGGCTACGGGCCTGCTTCTAAAATAAAATCTGTGCCAAGAGACCTCCCGGAAGAGGACGGCCATTATCGGTAGAAAACAAATCACTCATAATTAAAAAAAGTAATTGTTCTACACGCAGCTTACTGCCCATGGTTTTATCGTTCCATTTTATGTAAGTTTGCTCGGAAATGATTCATTTTAGTGAAAAGACCTCCCTCGCACTCTACATCCATTACTTGACACATAAATTAATTTAATGCTTTAATGGTTTACCTTTCTGCCAAACAAAGATGTTTGCAATCTTCTACCGGAAGTATCTGTGCATTCATCTAACAAAATAATACAAACTCTCGGGTGGATCTGAATGTTAATCCTATAAAATGTTTCTATTTTAAGATTAATCTGTTATTGATATGGTGTTGTATTTTGACAAATTAATATGAAAAATTTGTAACAAATCATGGCGCGTCTCTTCTGGTCATGCGCATTAAAGCGATATCAAAACTGTGTGTACCCAAAAAACAATCGGTCTGTGCACGTTTTTCGGAGTGTTGACATTGTAAAGTCGAGCAACTCGGCTACAGAACGTGATGTGGTTCAGTAAAATCATCACAGCTTTAGAGCTACACGTACATGTAGGACATTTGATAAATGAAGCGCAAACCGCCAGAAATAAGTAATGGCGGAGGACAACTAATAGATATAAATATCCCTTCACCGCAAACGTTATTAATGTATCCTTCCTTGCTTTAAAAATAAGTCATTTATCGCAGAAAATAACCACTTGACGTGACCGCAGATGTTAAAGTGTGGTGTCAACGAGGCCCTACATGTGTTGGTTCGTATTCGTTTTCTTCATGGTGGTTAATCTGTAATAACTCTTAATTTAATGGATAAGTCAGAAATGTTGGCGGTGTTCAAATTGAAGCAGAGCACTCAGGAAGGATTTAGGTGTAAAGATATACGGTGAATTCGTAGGTTTTACTGCCTACATGCCAATGTTTTATACATAACTATAATTTAAGAACCGCAGCACAATGTTTCATCGGATATTTATTTCGCATTGAATCTCTTTTGAAATGTTTATAAATGTACTATCAAAAACTTGCTAATTAAGGCAATGTGCTAATTTTGTGGTATACGCACAGCACATGAATAACAAATAATAACCCGATGGTTTTTAACGTTTTGAATTGTTCGAAACACATTTAAAACATCAAACCAATATTTAACATAAAACAACATTTAAACTGTTTAATACTATGTCTTTACCTGTAGCCTCTGGCAGTTGAAAAATGATAAATATTCCAAAGACGAAAAAAGCGCTGGACACATAAGTAGGCTTTTCTGGATAATTATGCCTTGATCCCGGGTAGAATTGAGTAAACATGGCGACGGTCCATGTCGTACAAAAATGGAGAATATATTCTGAAAGAAATAATATATGATTTCATAAAGAAATACTCATCAGAGTAAACTCTATTCCTCGTAGACATGAATAAAAAGAGTGACGAACGATTCTATACTCGGAGAAATGGGAGATGTATACTGAAGAAATGTGATGAATAATACTAATAAATGAAATAAATAATCATAAATATTTGTGATAATCTAAAAAAAGAAAAATGTTAATTAACTGGATGTACCTTAACTTAAAACGACACTGCATTTTCACTATCGACGGGCGTCAGGGTTTTTAAAGCCATTTGCGCAAAACGCCAACTTTAAATTTGATTCACTGTATTGCTTTCAAACAATTTTGATCAGTAATATAGCGCTCACAATGGAATCTTTACATATCGGTTATAGTTTTAATCATGTATGATACGATATTTTTCTCTTATTTCAAAATGGGACAGCTAGTGAGTCATGTTTCACAATTCTTAGAAAATCATATCAAGAAATATTATACCAACAAGATTAAAAAAAGCAACGAAAGGCGCTTTTAATCCTGAGGACCAAAATATTATTCGGCATTGTTGAATCTGGTTGTAAATTTAATGTTCCATCAAGCGTTCCAGTATCATTAAGATGCCATCAGTTCGCCAACTCGCCCAGAAATATGACTTTAATGTGATTCTGCGTAAACATTTCAATAACTTTAAACTTTGCTCGGGTTAATGGCTCATGGATATGTTGAATATTTTTACAAGTACGACAAAAATTACCCTCAGGGCGCAAGAGATGGGAGAAACGCATTCCTCCCTCTCCCCTCCCCCCCTCTCTCTCTCTCTCTCTCTCTTTCCGCCAAATTCATAATATGATCTTATCTTCAAAAAATTTTAAAGACATGTACCAGAAGAAAATCATTTTTATGAAAATTAATAACTATAACTATTTCTACGCTTCAAGTTGTTTTTCTGTTTCCTTTATTAATTTACTTTTCGGGTTAAGTCAAGTAATGAATATGTACATTTTACAGCTTTAAACTAAAATCCAAATAGACCCACTGGCCACCGTCGGAATTTACCTATGAGTCCATACTTGGCTTTTTGTTATGAAGTGTATTTGATAGGTAATCAATACCATTATATATTCGACAGAAATAGAAAAAAATTAGTCTTTTTCACTGCCTAAGCTGTGTACGTATATACATGTACAGGCAGCACCCGTTTTCCCATTTTTTTATTGTCCTCGATATATTTTAATATTAAGGACAATATTTTTAAAAAATCATTTCGCTATGGCAATTGTGAGTTTTATACTTACCAGCTTCTGATCATAGATCCTTCACTTCTCTACTGAGTTACTCTTACTGACCATCCATCTTTTATCTTTTATTTCTGTCCAAGAGAGATACTGAGCCAATGAAACGGTTAACATGAACTGATTCTCTCCAACGATTTTTTTTTCTCTTTGTCGAGTCCTATCAGGTATTCCTCTGAAACTCTCAGAGAGGAAGACAAATATCCCAAAACGCCTCTGCATGAAATAAAATACGCTTCACAGTTCTGTTATATTTTGGGTAGTGCTCGAAGCAGCACACAGCCAGCAACATTAAGGTCTAAGTCAACTTCCGAAGTCTTGTTTTTTTTCTTCCTTGGAAACACTCCCAATTGTCCTTCCTAATTCCCACAGAAACGTTTTCCGGGTTAACCTCACACGGACAATTACAACATGTACACTGCATATGACCGGAACGGACACGTTTATGTCGTTATAGAATCTGGACGCACTAACCATCCCATGTAGTTTCCTGGACACGTAAATCAGTAGCTTCCTTGTGTTATGCCAGAAAAAGCCCCCCATCCGTTCTTTGGAAGATAATAATTGGGAAAAAAAAACACATTTATCAATCGCGAGACCTCGTGCTTTATATGTAGCAGAGGAGGCGGAAACGTCATGAAGGCGTTATAGGAGGGCCTATCCACTGCTTACTCTTGCTTTTCGTATCCTCAGAGCAGCTTTACCGGTAGTTACAAGGGGTGCATATACATGTAAAACCCACCCCTCTACCAGGATCACAGTAAGAATCTTTTCCGCTGGATATTAACAAATTCAAACTTTTCTCTGACTATTTCTCCATTTAAATAGTTCATACCACAGTCATAGAAAGGATTTTTTATTGCTGGATATAAGCAGATTTTTCTGACTATTTCTCTATTTGAAAAAAAGGGGGAAAGAAAGAAAAAAGGAGAAAAAAGCTGACGTCATCAAGCAGCTGGTAGAGAGTAGGTGAGACCGGGTAAACACGCGACCATTGTGCGACCATTCACTCTCACCCATGAGCTATCAATCTATAACAATTAAATGTGTCCCACAATACCATAAGTTCTGTGGTCCAGTCCCAGCAAACACCGAACATTAGTATAACGTTACCATAACGTTTACATAACCAAAACACGTTACTGTAACGTTATGGTAACGTTATACAACGTTCTGTGTTTGCTGGGGTTAAGATAACAAGAGTGTGCATGCCGAACGAGAAAACTTTTGAAAACAAAACAAAACAGAATTTTTTTAAAAAATTCTAACTTTATTTTGGTGATAATACTGTATCATATAAGGGTTATCAAAAGATCTAATAATTAGTATAAAATACATATATACAGTTGCATTCCAGTCCAGCTGTATGCAGAGGTCATCACCTGATTCAGTCACGTGTCACAACTAGCTATTGAGGTCAGAATGAGGTCATGTTATTATTTTAAGTAATAAAGAAATCATTTTCATTTTTTGTTTGTACATATCGCTGAGCGCACTAGAGCAAGCACCCCCTCCCTTCCCTGTCCACGGTGTCAGAATGAGTAACCGACCATGCCACCTGCCGAGGCAAAGAGGTCGTGCGAGAGTTAAAATAAACTTATACAAGTAGACTAAGTGTCGTAGGCCTAACATTTCACGTTAATTAAAAGACATTGTCTAAGATTTTGTTGTCTTGTTAAGATAATTGTTGCACTTAGAAAATGTCACTGCAATTATTGGCATCATGCAGTTTTCGTGTATCCTGTGATACCAGGGGCTTCTAAAACAGTTCAAAATATAGGGGATACAATAATTTTGAAACAGACTACTAGCGGACCCTGTGGTCAGAGAGTAGTTTTCCTGCACCTTCCAACTTTTGACTCATTTCCTATGTTTCTTTCAGATAAATGCCCTATGCTTCATTCTCAATTATGTATTAGTTATTCGTTAATCTGCTCTGAGATTTGAAAAAACATTTACATCAATATTCCAAAGATTCTATTATTAAGTAGCAGCAATCTTATGTATTTGCAAACTTATTTTCTACAAATGTGAGCATTCTTTAATCAATACAGCACATCAACCTCATTTTTCAAAATTAATTCCTTTAGCTTTCAAGCATATTTCTTGCCTGTAAAACAACTGGTCTCCTCAATGTATGCTGACACTATTCGCATTTGGCAGCGCTAGCTGCATGTGCTAAGTTATAAGTACTTTGTTCATTCTTCATGTTGATAATATACACAAGTGTGTTCCATCCTATTTTAAGTTCCTTTAGCCCCCTTTACACTGAACTGAAAACAGCCCCACCATTGAGCATTCATTCTGCAATCAAAGCGATCCTTGTGTCTTCTTTGTGTGAAGGGGGTTTTACATTGTACCAGCAATTTGATCACACCACGCTGGTCATACCATAATG